TTTCGTAAACTAGGGCACATCAATCGTGAAAGAGATGAAGTTTAAAGGAAAATCTGGATTTCCCGATACTTTCGGTGGCGGAGGTAGGGAAGCAATTAAATAATAAAAATAATGATCGCATATCTATAACTAAGTGCTGTTAAACTGCATGGTTTACGAGCACTTCGTTTCGCTAAGTACCGACAGAGTGAATGTAAGCGAAAGAGGCAGTTCAAGGAAGAGAAAGAGAGTAAAGAACTGATACAAGTGTTGCGCACAGCATACTATACGTTAGTAACGAATACAAAAAAAGACGAATAACAAGAAAGAACAATGAGGAGAGGGACAGCTGAAAATCAAAAAAATAAAGGAAAAAACGAGGGGTGATAACACCTTGTGATCGAAGTTCTGGCTGCACATCCGGACATGACTGCTCTGGAAATTCTTGTGATCCCGAAGCTGACATTGCAACCATCGTCGTCGTGGCCGGCAAATCCGGTTGTACTGGACCTGTTTCTCTGGTCGACTTGAATATTCGGCTGAAGAAATTACCGAAAACACCGGACGAAGTGGATGCAGCTGCTTCATCAAGTAGCTCCTCCGGATGACGGGCGAAATATGTGATATTACTTGCGTCATTGTCGCCAACGGTATCGGACATCCAGAACAATGCCTAAACAAAGATGCGCAGTCATCAACCATCATGGAACTTACAAAAAACCAAAGCGCCAAACGGGTAGCACCAAAAACGCTTTGAAAACAACTTCACACAGGCAAAGCAGCACACAGCCTCTCATCTACTTCAAGAGCAATTTCACGCGTTTAATAACCCAAATTTAAGGACTCTAAGACGACGAGCTCGTCCGAGCAACAACTCTGCAACTCCTAGCCAACGGGACTAGACGGTCATTGCTGTAGGGATGAGAAAGTGCAGAAGAGATTGTGATTGCCTCAATCATATCTTAAAACGAGTAAAATCTTGACACGTGCGCCCTTCCGTTGACGAGCTGCTGCTATTCCCTTCAAAAGACGAAACAAACGTCAAAATCACCAGCAGGCTACTGAATGAGGGCCAGACGAGACAGAGCAATAGGAAAATTTCCCATAAAACAGGCACCGATGAATGGAAGAGCAAAGAGAGACTGCAACTGATCGGAGTGAGTGTAATACTCGGAAAATGGCCGGAAATCGATGGATGTTTCTTCGATAGCCGCTTCGAGACATCCAAATTCGCTCACAGAAACAAACAGCAACAAGTTCCGAATACCTCCCGCTGAACTCCGCCAAACTAATGGAACCGAACATGCACACGTATGCCACCCACACAACAACTCAAATGACCAACGGAGTGGCACAATTTAACAGAATCGTACCGTGTAAAAAAGTGCTTTTCTTCTGGCGCAGTTCCTGCTTTTCGTCGTGCGATCTTGTGCTTCTCCGGGTGTCTGTGGCACTTTGTCGTCTCAGTTTATTAGTCTCGGACTAAGAAGGAAAAGGGGGAGAGGGAAAGAGTTTCACTAGGTCCCTCTATCAGTCATCGGGATATCTCCTCGTTCGCCTCGAAGTCACACTCAGGGGGAAATATTTTGCCACTCCGTTCAGGTGCTGTTTCATTGCCGTGTTTCTTCTGGTCTTTGGTACATCTGGCAACTTCTTTTTTTCTCCCCTTATC